GCCACTGGGCCTGCCAGAGTGTCTTCTGCAGGAGAAGAGGGCTCACCCCGAGAGCAAGGTGGCCCCTGGCACAGGAGTTCCGAGGTCCTCGGCGTTGGTCCTGCACAGGGGACCTGAGGGTGCTCACTCCTCTGGCTTGGGAGCGGCAGGGGGCCCGCGGTGGGTGGCAGACKCAGCACAGAGGGCTGGAGGCCCTTCCTCGGATGAATTGGTCAAAACACACGCTCACACCCTGCTGTGAGACCCAGGCAGAGGCCACCTGGGTGTGACCCAGAACAGAAACACAAACACTGACTGCCCTCGAAAACCCCACTGACTGGGACTGACCCCAGACAGACCTGGGCAACCCCACCTGCCCCTGACACACCCCTGCAGAGGCCCTGCCCGCCCACAAGCACACAGGTCCATTCCGCAAGGAGCAGGGGCCTCAAAGCCCGCCAGGAAAGTGGGGGTGTGGGTGATGGGTGGGCGGAAGGGTGAATATGGGGTGTGCTCTGGACGGGTATTGCATACACACCCACACGTCTGTGCGGRCGCAGGTGCAAATGTGCTCCACGTAAGTGAGCGCATGGATCCACCTTTAAAGGCGAGACACGCCAGGTCCCCCCAGGAAGCTCCCATCCTCTCCAATACACAGTAGGGCTGCAAGCCCTCCCCCGTCCCTCCTGGGGGAGGTCCCYATAACTCAGGCAGCCCACTAAGCAAGGCACCCAGGTGACCCCTTTTCCAATATTAAAGCTACTTGGCCTCCCCCTGCTCAGTTCTGAGAACTTGAGTTCAACAAGGTTTTTTGAGTAGGGTCCCGATTCCCAGGAAGCTCCCCCAAAGTCTGGTAACCCCCTGATGCTAGGAAAAGCAGTCTGTCACTTGCTGAGAGGGGCAAAGGTCACAGGTGAGGAGAGGGAAGGGGAAGGGAGGGCACCGGGCCAGCTGCAGAGAGCCCSCCAGGCCAAGACGCAGCTGACCCCACTGCAGGGAGAGGGCAGGCGGGCGAGCGCCAGGGCTGGGTTACTTTATTGTACCTCGCCTCCAGCCAGCGCCAGAGACGCTCTTTCCCCCGGGAGACAAAAGGCCTGCCGTTGTGGCGTCCTGCCCCGCTGGGAGGGCGTTTCGCCCCCAGGGATCCGTGTCCCGAGGCTGGGGCCATTGGTCATTCAGGCCTCGGAGAGTGCACAACTGTGGGACCTCTGGCCACCCCTCCTAACTCTGGACCTTCTAACTGGGGCTCCCTCAGTCCCCCCAGCAGAGGARCTCGGAGTTGGTACCAAGTTCTAATGCTCCTCCCCCCATATCCCCTGCCTTTGGAGTCCCAGATCCTCAGCACAGCCACACTGCACAGCCTGGGGACACCCAACCACTCCCTGTAAAGAGGTCCTGGGGTTGTGGCCTGGGGACGGGGTTGGAGAGAAAGAGACGCCTCCCTAACTCTGGGCAGACCCAGTTTTCCAAGCATTAAACCAGATACAGTCACTCTGGGCTTCTTGGAGCTGCAGGAAGCCAGAGGAGAGCCACCGGACACCAGGGCTCTGACATTATTTCACYGAGTCGTAATCCCTCCCTTGATGTCACCGGGCTGTTTTCCATGAGTCCAGCTCGAGGAAATTTCAGGGCCTGTAAGATGAGGAAGACGACGACGCGAGACACACGGACTCTACCCAGTGGGGCCGGGGTGAAGGGGACCATCCAGAGAAACGCCCAACCTGGGGCTGCGTTCCCACAGAGCCAGGGCCACGGAAAGCAGSGGCAGGCGACCAGCGGCTGGGGACCCGGCCGATCCGGCCCATTCATCAAAGGGAGACAGACACTTGGACAAAGTTGCCCCCTCCCCTTTTCTCCCACCCCCAGCTCCCRGGGCTCCGCTCCCCCCAAAACGAACTGTCTTCACGGGCAGTTCAAATTCTCCCCCCAAAACGAGGTCGAGCCGGGGATTAGAAAAGAGAAAAAATTATTCGTTGGCCATTTCTTTTCGTTATTGGTCCTCCGCAGCCTTCCGTCCTGGCCCCCTTCGCTCCTCATGAATAAAAGAAAAGTCCGAACCTATCAGATCTCGTCGGCTGCCTCCTCCTCCTCCTCCTCCTCCTCCTCCTCCTCCTCCTCCTCCTCCTCCTCCAGTTGAGCACTTTTGCACAACTTACCCAGCTGATCGCTCGCGCCCCCTCGCTTTTCCTCTTCTCTTCCCCAACCCCTCACTCCCGAGACCCAAGGAGGCGCTAGCTCGCTCCTCCAGTCGGCCCGGGGACGAGCGCGAGGGAGCCTGGCGCAGGGGGTGGAGGAAGGCGCGGGAGGCGGGAGGGAGGGAGCCGGAGCCAGGGCATAAATATATAAATAAAGAGGAAAAGAAATCCGCTCCGCAGCCTCCCGGCTCAGGAACTTTGGCCCCGAGTGCGGGARCGAGTGGCTCTGCAGTCCGAGGCCGGGGCCCGGGATCCGGCCGCGTCCCGTCCCCTGCGCCGCCRGGCCTGGTGGCCCAGCTCTGCCTGGCGCATCCGCGCGCACAACTTGTGGCCGAGCCCCGCCGGCGGAGGCGGACTTGGGGTTGGAGTGTTTGTTTGTTTGAACTTCCTCGTCGCCACCTTCCCTCCCCCCACCTCCGCCCCCACCTCACCCCCCTCCCCAGCTTCTGGACGCGTCGGACTGCAGCCGGGGTGGGGGGGTGGGGTAGGGAGTGCGTGGAGGGAGGAGGAAGAGGTTAAAAAAAAAGGAGAAGAAGAAGAAGAAGAAGGAGGGAAGAAAGATCGCAGCCGGGGGAAAGGGAGCGGACGGGAGGCGATTTTTGCCGACTCTGGATTTGTCCCCGGCGTGCGCGAGCATGGCGGCCCTTCCCGGCGCGGTACCCAGGATGATGCGACCGGCTCCGGGGCAGAACTACCCGCGCACGGGCTTTCCCCTGGAAGGTAAGAGTGCCCAGGCTGGCCCGGCCGGACTCCTCCGCCCGCCACTCGAGCTCCCTGGAGGTGGCGATCTCCTGGGGCGGCGGGGGCGGGGGCAGGAGCCGTGGGTCCCGCACCCCGTGTGGGTCCAAGTCGGGGCGCGGGGCCCAGGAAGTTTCGGGGGCTGACACTTGTCCGTCTCTGCGTGGGTTTCACTGACCCGCAGCCTCGGCCTCAGAGGTCGCGGACCGCTGGCCTTTCCCCGCAGGGCGGAGCTCCCGGTAGAGTTCAGCTTCTGGTAAACCCGGGTCCCCGTGGATTTCCGATCTTCCCACTATTTCAGACACTTCTTTCCGGATAGTTTTCCAGCCCCCGGCGCTCACCGGCTCCGGGGTTTCTCCTCTAGTTTGGAATTGTTCTTTTCGCTACCGGGATGTTCTTCCAATCCCTTTTATTTCGAAATACCAACAATGTGTGCTGCTCTGTGGACCTCCCAAGGCCATCCGCTTCTTCCAAAGCCGCCCTCCACCGCTCCTGCTTTTTGACCTGCCAACAAATTAATTTGAAATCTTAAATAGTAACGACCGTTTTTCTCCCCAAAACTTTTCACTACCCGAACTCGGCACATCTCCCAGGAGCGAACCTCCAGATAGCGAGCGGGGCACGACAATGTGCACCCCGGGGGAAAGTGCTCATTTTCTAACGYGTCCTCCTAAGCACGTCCAGCGGCCGTGGAGAGCCCAGAGGATGGGCAGCGAGAGGGCTCCCGGCGGGGGGAAAGGGCTGGCCAGGCTGGGAGCGGAGGCCCTTCCCCGCATTTTTGTTCTCTTTTCTTTTTGAACTAACCAAGAGCTTCAACCTGTCACTGAGGGATCATTTGGCTTCTGGGGGTAGGCAGCCCCCGGTGTCTTGGGGAAGRAGTTAGAGATGTGTGCGACTTTTATTTTTCCATCACTCTTCCTGCGATTGTTGGAGCCCCCATGTGCGGGAGGAAGGCGAGAGAAGGCCGGGAGCGGGGTGGGCGGGCAGGCAGCCTGCGATCGGGGAGGGGGGCCCCTGGGGCCCAGAGAAGGCGCCGGGTCCCTGAATTAGACCGGGGCGAAGAGAGCGGCTCCGTGATCAAGTGCGCGCGAGCAGCCACGCAGGCGGGAGGGCGCGCAAGCCCGGGGATTTGCCGCAGCACTCTCCTGGAGCCAATGCCAGTGAAACCGCGGCTGAGGACGCGGCGCGGATTAGAACAATATTTGCCCAACATGACGCAGAATACTGAGAAGAGCCGAGCGCCGGTCGCTAAAGAGGCTCTTGAATATAAAGTTGGGCGCTCGAGAGCTCTCCAGCGCTAATGGCATATCCCGCCACGGAGACCGAGTGACTCTGACTTGGCGACGCACGATTTCTGATTAAATCCGAGGGTGGCTTCAGACACCTACTTTTACAAAGAGAGGTGGGGGGCCTCCCGGGAGAGCGAAGGAGGGGGCGGCAGGAAGAGCCCTGCAGCCGAGCCTCTTCTCGCCCCCTCCCTTCCAATTATACCGACAGCTCCCTCCACTCTGGCGGCTGTGAAATCGTTCTAATCTTCCAGATCTCCGCAGCCGCCGAGTCCCCAAATTGGGGGGATCGAGGCCGGATTAGTGCACCGGGTGTCCCCCAACCTTCTGTGAGAAAATTGTGTAGACTTTGCATTAAGGCGACCCGTGCCTGCCGTTCTCCTTCCTCAGAACACGGCGGGGCTGTCTGCCTTCCTGGTTCTCAAAGTCACCCACACCCTTGGGATGGTGGCCCATCTGTGTTCAAGCAGAGCCTGCAAGGACCKCGCATGGCTTTCTGAGCGGGATGGTTTGGAGCTTGCTGGCAGTGGGATGTGTCCCCCAGTTGCTCCAAAACGAAATTAAAACTTTGAGAGTGATTGGAAACAAGGGGGCTCCCCGAGGCACAGCCAGGTGCCTGGGGAGACAGCTCCGTGCATCACTGTGTCACTGACCCTGGGCCGTTCAGCCACGGGTAGGTCAGGTCGCTGCTCAAGCTGAGCTGCAGAGGCTAGGACTCAACCAGCCCTTTGTAGCCACCAATAAAGTGGATCAGTCACAAGTCTCGGGGGATCGTGGAACTGATCGGATCCGATGGGCCGCATCTCATCAGTAATTGGCATCTCTGAGAGGCAGGCAGACCAGTGGCCCACGCCTGGCCTGGGGGACAGACAGCCAGTGCCCCAGAGGTCTTTAGAGCACCGCCAGGCTCATTCCTCTGCAGTGTCCCTCTCCTCGCCAGGTGTGTGTCATCCTTTGGTGTGGCAGGGTAAGGGCACAAGGCCTGTGTGACTTCTCCCTCCACTCCCACAGGTCCTCCTTCCCCACAGTTCCTTCCCACCTCTGACTACCCAAGTGGCTCTGGATGTGGGGAGATCCGGGGTGAGAGGTCTTGGGGCTCCAGCAGCCCGAGTCCCCGAGGGCAGTCAGCCAGCGTCTCCTCCCTGTCCTCACCCAGGTCTCTCTCTCTTCCCTCTCCAGTGTCCACCCCGCTTGGCCAAGGCCGGGTCAATCAGCTTGGCGGGGTCTTCATCAACGGGCGACCCCTGCCTAACCACATCCGCCACAAGATTGTGGAGATGGCCCATCATGGCATCCGGCCCTGTGTCATCTCCCGCCAGCTGCGGGTCTCCCATGGCTGTGTCTCCAAGATTCTCTGCCGCTACCAGGAGACTGGGTCCATCAGGCCTGGGGCCATCGGCGGCAGCAAGCCCAGAGTGAGTGTCTTTGCCACAGAGGCTGGCAGCAGGCCTCCCCACGGCCGGGACCCTGGCTGCCACCCCTTGTGCTACTCCTGTGTGTCATACACCGGCACTGGGGTGTCTGTATGCTCTCCATGGGAAGCACAGTGGGGAGTGTCCCCCACCCCAGATAAGTCCCCATTATTTCCCCATTATTTGAATTTCTCAGGGAGGGAAGGGAATGACAGGTCTAGGTTGTCCCTGACTTTGAGGCTAATAAACTATCTCTGGACTGTCCCTGCAACTACCCCAAGTCTCTGCTGCTACCCCAGACCGGGGGAAATCTCTGCCTTCCTGTGATGGTGAGGGGAGGTCCTGGGGTGCTAATTAGGTTGTATTTTATTACCCATCCCTGCTCCCTACCCAGCTGCCATCCTGGGAGCCAGGAACTAATTTCYTGAAAGAACAGAGCCAATCTTGGAAGGGGAGCCTGGTGACCAGAGCCACCAGCCTGGCCTGGGGCTCTCGGGAGGTTGGTATTAAAAGTATCTCCCTTCCCCCACCCCATCTGTCCACTCCTCCTCTCCCACCTCCACCTCTGAAGCAGGTGGCGACTCCGGATGTGGAGAAAAAGATTGAGGAGTACAAGAGGGAAAACCCAGGCATGTTCAGCTGGGAGATCCGGGACCGGCTGCTGAAGGACGGGCACTGCGACCGCAGCACGGTGCCCTCAGGTGAGAAGGCAGCTGAGCCTGGGAACCTGCCAGCCCAAGGCCGRGGCTCAGGGTGTGGGGATGGAGGGGAGAAAGAGTGGGGAGTGGTGGTTCCCAGGGACCTTGAAGCCGAGAAGGGAGGAAGAGGGAGCAAAAAGACAGAGAGCAGTCGTGAATCCAACAGAAAGGAGGATGATCGAGAAGAAAGTTAGGAGAGAGGGCAGGAAGAAAGGAAGGTAGGGAAGGAAAGGACTGCCGACAGGCAGGTGGGAGGAAGGAAGGGGGAGGAGGGGAGAGAGGGCCAGAAGTTATCCTAGAGGAGCTCCCTTGGAGCCATCTGGAAGTGGCCCAGAGGAGAGACCTGCCCCAGGAGGGCTGCTGTCTGCCCTATTTCCTGGACCCCTCTCCCCAAATCATCATTTCCATTCTCTGGCTACCACCACCCACCAGTGAGTCCCCAATTCAGAGGCCCCAAATCACCATAACAGGGAAAGTAGGTGTGTGTGTGTGTGTGTGTTGTGTGTGTGTTGTGTGTGTGTTGTGTGTGTGTGTGTGTGTCCATGTGCATTCAGACATGCAGGCCAGGACACACCTGAGCCTGGACAAGGCAGCAGCAGGAATTGGGGGCACTTCTAGGAGGAGTGGGTGTGGAGGGCAGCATCTAGGGTGTGAGGCCGAGTCGTGTGGGACWTGGGACATGGGACTGTGTGGGAAGGCACTGGGTGGGTGCCTCAGGTGTGCTGAGGGTCCCTGTGAGTAGGTGCAAATGCTGACGGCCTGGGGAGTGCTGTGGGGTGGGGGTTCCCCACTTCTCCTTTGCCCAACAACTTATACTTGCTCTTTTGCCTTTGAATTTCTGAGGTTTAGTGAGTTCGATTAGCCGCGTGCTCAGAATCAAGTTCGGGAAGAAAGAGGAGGAGGACGAAGGGGACAAAAAAGAGGACGATGGCGAGAAGAAGGCCAAACACAGTATCGACGGCATTCTGGGCGACAAAGGTAGGAAACTGCCAGGGCCCGTTGACCACGGAGCCCGCGCCTTCCCACGCTCCTCCTGGGGGCCTGTGGCTCGCTCCTGCTGCCCCAGCGCCTCGGACAGAGCTCGTGCGGAAAAACTTGCAGGCGGCCGGCAGCCGGGAGCTTTCCAGGCTTTGCGGAGAGCGCCCCCTCGGTGCGCCCCGGGCCGCGGCAGGGTGCGGAGCCGCGTCTCCTCTGCCAGGCAACCGGGCCGCGGGGAGGAGCGGAGCGCGCCGCGGCTGTGCAGCCCCTGCGCGCGCGGGGTCTCCCCGGGTACGCGCGTCCTCGGGGCTGGCGTTTGGGCTGCTTGTCCCGCTGTTGATCAATTATTTATAGGAAACTTGGGGAAGGCGGGGAGGGGGGCGAGGAAGGAGGAGCTGGCCCGCGGCTCCCTAAATGAATTTGTTAACCAGACCCGCACAGCTCTCTAAACGGTCCCTTGAAACCCCGCCTGACAGTTGACTGACCGCTGCAATCAATAAAAATTAGCGAGGGCAGGGCGGCCGCCTGGCTCTCAGTCCCGCGTCGCCAGGGCAGAGTGGCGGGCGGAAGGGTGCCTTCCTCTCTGGCGTTCGCGGATGGGGCGGGGAGTGGAGGCCAAGTTCCCAGATGTCGTCCCCGGGCGGGGGACCCAGGCGCCACACACCCTCTCCCCACCCTTGGCGAGGCTGGGGCGCGGGGCTGCAGTCTCAGCACAGGGCCCAGCTTTCCCCCGCGACCCGAGGAAGGCGTTTTCTCTTTCAAGCGCCTGCACGCCCGGGGAAGGGGACTTGCTTTTGTTACAGACGGAGAAGTTTCTAGGAGGAAGGGAAAGTCTTTGCCCTTCACCCCTCCCTCGCGGTTCTCTTGGAGACTGGGTCTGTGTGCACCGAGTGGGGCCCAGGGGAGAAGTGCAAAGACCCAGAGCCACAAAGACCGATCTGGGGAAAGGAGGGCCCCCAAACACCCGCAGGGAGGGAGAGAATCGGAAGACAGCGGTCCTAGGAACCGGCGAAACCGTGGTTTTTGGAAAAAGTGGGCGAGCCATTTTGTTCGGGTCTCCTTCCTTCCAGAGCCTTCTGCCGGGGCACCCCTCTCCCAGCCTCCCGAGCACTCCCAGCCAGGGCTCTCTCCGGCTCTCGGCAGTCCCTCCCAACCTTGAAGATGAACTTCACAGACAAAGCCCGCTTCCAAAGACGACTCCCAGCCAGGGAGGCCCAGCCCCCACCGGCCTAGTCCGAGGGGGAAGGATTGGGGGGTGGGCGGCCCCGCGTGAGAGCTGCTCTGAGCAGGGGAAGGGGCGGGCTATTGACATTCAGGGCCCCTAGTGGAGCCGCAGTCCCGCCCGGGACAAAGGGCGAGGGAAGAAAGGGAGCGAGCAGCGCCTCGCACCCCGCTGTGCTGGGCCTGCCGAGGGGCCTCGGGTCTGCCGATGGAGCAGCCCAGCACCGCCAAGGAGCCCTGTCTCGGCCAGACCGCCTGTCGCACAGCCCTGGGACCCCTGCGGGGGACCCAGTGCTGACTCAAGTTCCTACTGGAAAGACTCGTTGGAGACTTTTTTTACATGAAAAAAAATGGCTGGTCAGGGACAGGAACTGGAGTGGTCATGCCCAGCACCTCTCCGAGTTATCCCTGCCAGAAGTGGAGGGGGGTCTGGACTTACTTGGAAAGACTTCAGGGGTGTGGGTCTGTCTGTCTGTCAGTCTGTGAGGAAGTACCAATAGGTAAATTTTCTCTGAGAAAGGCAAGGGGCAAGGGAGAGGAAGGAAAGGGACACATGGGGTCTGTGACTCAGGGAGTCTGGGCACTTCCAGAGCTGGTCTGGCTTTACGAAACCAGGGAGCGGGCCACTTCGCTGGAGAGAGGTTTTCCCTGTAAAAGAGCCAGGAAGCGCTGAGTCTCCAGGGTCTACAGAGCAGCCTGGTGGCTCCAGATGGGGGAGGCTGGGGACACAGGTGCTGAGTCTGGAGGGGCTTCACAAACCAGATGACCTCACGGGGCGGGCCTGTGTCCAGAAAGCCCTCTGGGTTTTGAGTCCTGATGGGCGCGTGGGGCGCTATGGTGTTGTGCTGGATGGTCGCCTTTGCTTCTCTCTCCGTGTGGCTGTCACCCACCCGCCTAGGGATCAGAGTGCCCTTGCACTTGTATCTGCGCCAGTGGGGTTCTGCCGGGTCCGCAGTGTGATGCCCGTGGGTGTGAATAGGCATTTGATGGCACAGACGAGAGGCGCCGCCTGTCCATCTCTGGACAAATTGTATCAGTTAGCTGTCCCAGTGTGGGGTGGTCAGCAGACATTCTGATGAACCCCTCACCTTCCTCCCAGACCCTAGACATCCGTGTCATGGCCAAGTTAAAGATGGGGGGGGGGGAGAAAGAAAGAAAAACCTCCCAACCTTCCCCCAAGCTGTCCAGGTCAGGAGAGGCGGAGAGGCAGAGAGGCCCCGTGGGCAGAGCAGGGGGAGGGGTGCATACCCACAACTTTGTTTTTTGGCTTCTTGGTCTTGATAAATGCTTTCTCCGGGGGTTGCCCCTCTCGTGGCAGGGAGCCGCCAAAGAAGGGGTTTAAGAGCTCTCTTCTTTAAGCGCTAAAGAGAGATCCCTCCCTGAGTCCGTTTTTCCCTATCGTCCGCTTGGCATTTAATAATGTTAAGACTTATTAGAGCTGGTAATGAAAACTGGGGCTGTTGAATAGGAAACTGTGTTGGAGAGGGGTGTAATAGCTTCCAGGCATGGTAAGAAACTATTTATCCGCAATCAGTCCTCACTCTCAGAGTTTGAAGCACAAACGTTAAGTTGAAGGGTTTTAAAGCAGATTAAATTGAGCTTTTATTTCTGTGCACTTTCATCTCTGAACAGCTCACTCCTGCTCCCCTTGGGCTGATATTCATGAGACTGCTCGTGTTTTTTTTTTTTTTCTTTTTTGCTCTTATCCTTGTTAAGACTGAGTTATTAGGATTGTTGGTTGTATGAATTCTCAGACCACTGCCGATAGGTGCTCCAGCCAAGCTCTGCTCACCTGGGGAGGAGGGTGGACAGTTCTGTACCATCTCTCCCTCTCTGCCCCACCCCTGTCCACTTAGATGCTCTCCTCTGCACCCCTTTCTCCAAGGATCAGGGGGTAGGCAGGCCGGCCATGGAGCCAACAGGAAGAAGGTCTGAGGAGCAAAGAGGAAGAAAAAAAAATATTCCCAGAATCTGAGCTCAGAGATTCTTGTGAGGAATCTGATAGGGGCTTGCAAAGGGTCAACCGCTTCCTCTGTAGGAGCTGGGGACTGGGTGTGTGTAAAGAAACCAGCAATAATGTAAACAACAATAGCAACAGAAACCAACAGTCACCTAGAGCTGTGGGCAGCTGTCAGTGCAGGAGTTGAAAGCACAGCTGACCAGATCTGACACCAGGCTCCACTCTGGCCTCTAGGACCAGAAGCCCATCGAGGTTACAGTGAACCTGGACCCTGAGCAAAGTGACCAGAGTTGCTTTCTTGTGGCCAGAATAAAACTCTGAGAGTCAGAGTCCCCTTTGGAGAATCTGCAGATTTTCTGGGTCTGAAAGACCATCATGGGAGGTGTGGGGGGGGGTGGGCTGGGGGGGTCCAGGAGGGGATGAGCCAGATTTGTTTTTCTTTGCTTTTATCCTTAATTTATTTTTAAGGCTGTAAACTTACAGGTGTGGAGTGGGAAGTGACGGGGAAGGAGGGGAGAGCCCGGAGTGTGGGTTTTAGACACTTGTAAAGGGAGGTGGGAAACAATTTAATTTGGCAGCAGCGATAGCGCTAATGCGGTTTTCGGTGGTTTGCTACACTGGAGGAAGCTGTTTTGATTGTGTGTACAAGGACCTGCCAAATTTAATTAGGCTCCGGGGGAGCGAATGAATAGGGGAAGGGGGGCCCGGCTCCCCTTAGCCCACACTTCCCCCCCTCCCGGGCTCTACACCTGGAAGGGACATTGTCAGTGGTCTAGGTGAAGTCGGCAAAGGGAGGGGTCCCGGAGGGAGCGAGGCCTTGGGAGAGGGGGCGAGGGAGGGGAAGCAGATAGACCATTTATCAAGAAACAATCTGCATTGATTTAAACCAACAAGTTCTCTCCTCTGTAAATGTGTGTTTAGAGAAAGGTAATTGACACTCCACCAAATCAAAGGATTACCCCGGGTTGGCAATCTAATCAAACAGAGTCCAGGCGGGATTTGAAGCTGTTCAGAGTGGGATCAGCTTCGCATAATGGGGGCTCCGAGGAAGATGGGAGGGTGTCAGGCAATTCCCCGGCTTTAGGCAGCGCTCGGCGGTGGATCTTCAGAGACCAGAGGGAAGGAGGGAGGGGGCCGCGAGGCTCCGGCGGCCCAGGCGGGGGGATGGGGCGGGAGGGGTGCGGGGCGACGCGCCATATCCCGGAGGAGGGGGCTCCCGGCGAGGGGGCGAGCCCACACTGGGCTGACAAGGCTCCCCCTTTTCTTCCCTCCATCCCCCCGACCGAAGAAGAGGGGGGCAGGAGGGAGCGGAGACTAAGGAAGAACAACAATGAGGAGATAACTGTTACAAAGGCAAACACTGGCGCTCGCGCGCGCGCAGCCCCAGAACCCGCGGTAAATAAACAAAGTCGGCAAAGTGTTTGCCAGATAAACTCGTGCCTAAATCGAGTGTGACGGGCAAGGAGAGAAGAGACAGAAGGAGATAAGGTTGGAGGGGGAATGAACGAGCATAATCTAATAGAAGACATTTAGAAAACAAACTTTAAACAAGGGAGAACAGGCGAGCCGGGCGTAATTAYCCGCCCCAGAGAGCGGGGAAGCCGTCGGGGGACCGGGCGGGGGTGGCGGGCCTGGGAGCCGCGGCGGAGCTGGGTTGGGGGGGTGTCTTTGGGACTCCACGGGGAACCTGGAGAGGGTCCCCCGGGCGCGCCAGGATAGGGGCTCGGCTCCCGGGTGGAGGCTCCGGCGCAGCCCCAGCCTCCGGATCGCCGGCGCGTCTAAAGGAGCGGCCCCCCGCTKCGAGGGCGTGCGGGCTTTG